CAAAATGGATCTTAACTATTAATTCTATACCAAACAGAAAACAATAAACTTGCGAAAAAGATGGTATACCGCAAACAAAAGGTGCAAAAATTAGTACACCATATCCGGATTTCGACAATTAATGTCTCATCAGTGATGTTATATATATAAAAAATGTCACAAATTTTCTGTCTAAACAGGATAAAAGGTTCAAATATTTTCATTATTAATCATAGTTAAAAATCAGAAGGTATACATGAGTGTTTGGATTAAAAAAAAAAGGGGGTGATTTTTTTACTGTAAATCTATTGTGTAAAGGGCATATGATACAGTTACAGGGGAGGTAATGACGTTTCTAACGTAAAATGTTATTTTTCGCGACGTCAAATTGTGACATATCGGGAAAAGATGCATTTTTCGACTGATTTTTATCATTCAGACTGATTTAACTTGAAAACGAGTTCATGGACCCCTCTTTTTAAAAATGACATTTGGTTTGATTATGTATAAAGATTATTTTTACCAATTTTTATAAACAAATCACCGATGATTTTTTTTCTAAATCAGATAGATATACTACGGAAGCCGATAAGGGCCATTCAAAAAAAAAAATTATGTCGTAATTACGACATAGCATGTCGTAATTTCGACATAACATGTCGTTATAACGACATCGCTATATCGTAATTTCGACATAACATGTCGTTATAACGACATCGCTATGTCGTAATTTCGACATAACATGTCGTTATTACGACATCACTATGTCGTAATAACGACATAGCTATGTCGTAATAACGACATCGCTATATATATATATAAAAGAATATGTATTATGATTGCCAAGAGACTTAATGACACAGAAATTAACAACTATAGGTCATCATAATGGCCTCAATAATGAGGAAAGCCCCCGCATAGTCAGCTATAAAAGAGGGACGAAAGATACCAGAGGGAGAGTTCCCGACATGACAGCTGTTTAATCATTTAATTTAAACGAATGAAAATAACGGTTTTAATAATGTACAAACAAAGACCGGAAAACGAATATGTAACACAGCAAACAAATGACAACCACTGAATTACAGACTCCTGACCGCTATGTGATAATAACGGCAACCTTATAGTTTAACTTTTCACTTTTTGATGCGATAGGCATTTCAAAATGGTTGTCAGTAAAGGCAAAGTTTGTAGCGGAAACAAATTCATCTTTTTTTTTTTTAGAATAATGAACACTATATGCAATCAAGCTTAATTAAAGTTATTCACTTGCACCTCAGACTTGCACATACTAGAACTTTATTTATAATCAAGTCAAATGAGACCCAGTTGAATAGGGGAGCAATTCAAGCTCCTTGGAGCCTCTAATTATGTTTGGCATGTACAGATTTGTGTAAATTATGAAGTCCTGCATTTCCATTGCAGGTTCTGAATAAGATGAATTTTAAGCTTTTCCCAATAAAGACTATGTTAAACTTTGGACTCATAGTGCTCAGACCCACGGATCTCTGTACCTTCATTTGTACACACTTGAATCTTAATGAACTACTGAGGCTTGAAGCAAATTATAACTGTATTGCTATTGTTGGTTCTTAATGAGATTCTTCAAGCGTCCTCCCCATTGAAGCCCTATTAAAACTTTGTACCCCAAGTTCTTTTAACCACTGTTCCCCAGGGCAACTATTCCTACAAACTTAAGGGGAGGGTTCGGATTCCGCTAACATGTTTAACCTCGCCACATTCTTTATGTATGTGTATGTCCCAAGTCTTTAATTTACATATTTGTTTTTCGTTTATTTTTGTACATAAAATAGGCCGCTAGTTTTTCTCGTTTGAATTGTATTACATTTGTCATTTCGGGGCCTTTTATGGCTGACTATGCGGTATGGGCTGTGATCATTGTTGAAGGCCGTACGGTGACTTTAATTGTAAATTTCTGTGTCATTTGGTTTCTTGTTGAGAGTTGCGTTTTTGAACAAACCAGCGTATCCCAAGGCCTTGATAACCTCTGTAGGCCCCAAAGAAGACGAAAAAAAAACATCAAAATTGGAGAGAAAACTGAAAAAAATTGTTTCTAACCTCAGGGATATTAACCCTTGGCTATCTTAGATTTAATGCAATCAGTATGCATCAGCATCAGGGTACAGCTCATTTGCATATAATTTGCATATTTTTACAAATACTCGAAATTTAGACAATTTCTGATAACAATTCAGCATGCCAAGGGTTAATATCCCTGAGGTTAGAAACCATTTATTTTCTGTTTTCTCTCCAATTTTGATGTTTTTTTTTCGTCTTATTTGGGGCCTACAGAGGTTATCAAGGCTTTGGGATACTCTGGTTTGTTCAAAAACGCAACTCTCAACAAGAAACCAAAGGACACAGAAATTAACAATTATAGGTCACCGTACGGCCTTCAACAATGATCACAGCCCATACCGCATAGTCAGCTATAAAAGGCCCCGAAATGACAAATGTAATACAATTCAAACGAGAAAAACTAGCGGCCTATTCTATGTACAAAAATAAACGAAAAACAAATATGTAAATTAAAGACTTGGGACAGACACATACATTAAGAATGTGGCGGGGTTAAACATGTTAGCGGGATCCCAAACCTCCCTCTAAGTTTGTAGGAATAGTTGTCCTGGGGAACAGTGGTTAAAAGAACTTGGGGTACAAAGTTTTAATAGGGCTTCAATGGGGAGGACGCTTGAAGAATCTCATTAAGAACCAACAATAGCAATACAGTTATAATTTGCTTCAAGCCTCAGTAGTTCATTAAGATTCAAGTGTGTACAAATGAAGGTACAGAGATCCGTGGGTCTGAGCACTATGAGTCCAAAGTTTAACATAGTCTTTATTGGGAAAAGCTTAAAATTCATCTTATTCAGAACCTGCAATGCCAAACATAATTAGAGGATCCAGGGAGCTTGAATTGCTCCCCTATTCAACTGGGTCTCATTTGACTTGATTATAAATAAAGTTCTAGTATGTGCAAGTCTGAGGTGCTAGTGAATAACTTTAATTAAGCTTGATTGCATAAAGTGTTCAATATTCTAAAAAAAAAAAAAGATGAATTTGTTTACGATACAAACTTTGCCTTTACTGGCGACCATTTTGAAATTCCTATCGCTTCAAAAAGTGAAAAGTTAAACTATAAGGTTGTCGTTATTATCAGATAGCGGTCAGGAGTCTGTAATTCAGTGGTTGTCATTTGTTGCTGTGTTACATATTCGTGTTTCGGTCTTTGTTTGTACATTATTAAAACCGTTATTTTCACTCGTTTGAATTAAATTGTTAAACAGCTGTCATTTCGGGGACTCTCCCTCTGGTATCTTTCGTCCCTCTTTCATAGCTGACTATGCGGGGGCTTTTCTCATTATTGAGGGCATTATGATGACCTATAGTTGCTTATTTCTGTGTCATTTAGTCTCTTGGCAATCATAATACATATTCTTTTATATATATAGCGATGTCGTTTTTACGACATAGCTATGTCGTAATTACGACATAGCTATAGTGATGTCGTAATTACGACTTGTTATGTCGAAATTACGACATAGCGATGTCGTTATAACGACATGTTATGTCGAAATTACGACATAGCGATGTCGTTATAACGACATGTTATGTCGAAATTACGACATAGCGATGTCGTTATAACGACTTGTTATGTCGAAATTACGACATATCGATGTCGTTATAACGACATGTTATGTCGAAATTACGACATAGCGATGTCGTTATAACGACATGTTATGTCGAAATTACGACATAGCGATGTCGTTTAAACGACATGTTATGTCGAAATTACGACATAGTGATGTCGTTATTACGACATGTTATGTCGAAATTACGACATAGCGATGTCGTTATAACGACATGTTATGTCGAAATTACGACATAGCGATGTCGTTATAACGACTTGTTATGTCGAAATTACGACATATCGATGTCGTTATAACGACATGTTATGTCGAAATTACGACATAGCGATGTCGTTATAACGACATGTTATGTCGAAATTACGACATAGCGATGTCGTTTAAACGACATGTTATGTCGAAATTACGACATAGTGATGTCGTTATTACGACATGTTATGTCGTAATTACGACATGTTATGTCGTAATTACGACATAAAATTTTTTTTTTGAATGGCCCTTATCGGCTTCCGTAATATACAGCAAAAAATGCCGTTTTTTTTACTAAAATCATGAAAATATGAATAAATAGATTATTTCCAAAGAAGTGTTACACAATTCTGTAGAGAAGATATTACGGATGTTTTTACAAAAGTCCGTTTGCGTTTATCTTTTGAAACAAACAAAAAAAGTTAGGTATGTCTTTCCAATTAAAGGATAGACATTTCAAAGAAACCGAAATTTCCAGTAAATGTCTAAAATTTCTACCCCATTTATCTCTAAAAATAGCACATGAAGGTATAATTTTTATTACATATTTGAACTGACTAGGTGAAAAACAGCTTGTATGCAAACTTTAGTCAAAAATTCACCGTGGGATCAAAACTGTATCGTATGCCCTTAAGGGAGCTACCATTTGATTTTTAGGGGGGGGGGCTAGGATGAAATTTGAAAAAAGGCAAGACAGGAGTTTTGAGTAAAAAAAAAAAGGCAGGATGAGCAACTTTGCCAATAAAAGGCAGGTTGACAATTTATGTAAAAAAAGTCAGGATAAAGTAATAAAAAAAAGGCAGGACCGAAAATAGAGTGAAAAATAAAAAGGCAGGACAGAGATTACAACTAAAAAAAAAGGCAGGACACAATTTTTCATCCTAGCCCCCCCCCCCCCCCCCCCCCCCCCCCCCCCCCCGATAAAAATCAAATGGTAGCTCCCTAATAGCAAATGAACCTACTTGTCCTTTATTTTATCTTCTCGCTAATATTTTTCTTCTTGTCGCTTCTGGACGCTTTTTGTCGCTTCTTGTCGCTAATTAGTGAGACCGCCTTACAAATATAAAGGGACATAATCCAACTACTTCCGGTACTGAAAAAAAAAAACAACACAGCGCAGTATAGTGCACATTGCAGAAAGATCAGCAGAATGTGTGGTGAAAAAGATAGCAGAGCATAATGAAGTTTGAATTAACAATATTCTTTTCATAAAAAGGAAACCTAAGTAAGATTTAAAGAGAAATAGCTAATGCAATGACTATAATATTACGGTGTACGTATGAAAAAAATGAACCAGACGTAAATACATGTACATGGTCTTCAAAAAATGACGTCATAAAGCATATATTTTTACGTCACAATGTCCTATGACACGTCTTTTCCAAAATGACCACAAGGTCTAACGGGACAGTCCATTCATAAAATCGAAATTGAAATCTTATGTATTCCTTATGAAGTTATGGTATAAATTATCTGAGTCCTGTGTGGGTTTTTGATTGACACTGGCTACTATTAGTTTTACCAGCAACATATATATTGATGGGAATTGACACACCTAATTATAGCCGATTTTATCGTTGGGTCATAGTAAATAAATGACACGATATGGAAACGGATGTGTAAAATACGTTTCTCGCTATTATCTTAATAATTTTTGATAATGTCAATCAAATGTTATTCAAACTAAGTAACAAGTGATGCCAGTGTATCGAACATGTAATCTATCACTTCAAATTTGTCATAATACATTTATTTCATTACAGAAGGGTACAGAATGCAAAAGGGTAATAAAAATATGGCACTGATTGCATTCCCAGTAACCGCGAATTTCACAAACCATTATTAAACACTTCACATCAAATAAATCACACTTATATTGGTAATTTTATATGACAAGATATAACTTCTTTATGATAAAACTTGTATTTGTTGAACATTTGGAATTATGTGGTTAATTTATTGAGCAGTTCCTCCTATAGTTTTTCAGTCAGATGCTTCCAAAAGCCAGAAATCTCGCTAAGTCTTGTATAGTTCGGGATTTTATCAATTTTATACTGAAAGGCCTATCAGATTCATTTCCCTTTAGATATACTGTTCCCAGGTATTACCTTGAAAATGTAACAATAGGACAAAATTTATTATTACGTTGTGCACTAATTGGCAGAATGCTAGGTTGGGTTAGGAACCAATTAATCACGAGCATAACAATAATATTTGTGTCAATGGTTACGTTGTGTTATTGTTACATTCATGCATTTCAATATATATGCTGGGAAAGAAGTATATATAGTATGGACCATATAAAATACAACTTGAACACTTTTATTCGTAAAAAATTCAATTATGCAATATTGCATATAGATTATATATTTTTATTTACAATGGCAGCTACTGCACATCTAATATGTGCTCTTATATGTGCTTCTGGGTGCATGTTTTAGTCCGACCTATTTTTATTAGCCAAACGAGTGATGCAGCAATGTGCATGTCGATTTTGCACACTAAACAGTTCCACTCTGCAATTTTCCTATTTGAAGTTAAATCATTCATATTGATTTAATGACCAATTGATATTTATATAGGAAGAAAAAACCTACCTTTGCTTTGAACATCCTCCATCAGATTTTGAAATGAAACTACATCTTCCATGGATACATGCATACACAAGTTCACAATATTTTTAGTTCACTGCTGTCAAACTTGCATTTGAAGTATCAATTTTTCCTGAACTTCGTTTATATAACTGTATAATGTTTGAATCTTTGTTTCCCTTTGTATTCCCCCAGTTTAGCGGATGGGGCATTAAGGTTTACCCTTGTCCATACGTCCGTCCGTACATACATCCCAATAAAGAAGATTAAAACAATTAATACTTAAAAACTATTCAAACACTATTTGTTGAATAATAATAATTATCAAGCCAGTGTTCTCCCCAGGATTTTTTGATAGTGCTGTGGTAAGCATGTGATACTAGATTGATTCACCTTACGTGTTTGCGACGTGATGTGACATTTGTACTGTCATGTTGGTTATAAAGTATTAAATAGACAAAAACCTGGTTTTTTTATATACATATATGCATTTACAGAAATGGAAATAAGTTACATTTACATTTTATTGAGCATTGAAAATTAAAATGCCAAATAATTGAAGTATTTTGATTTTATTACCACTCCATCCCCCCTTTTTTTAAAGTAAGTATTTTCAATTTAACATGTTAGCGGGATCCCAACCCTCCCCCTAACCTGGGACAGTGGTGTAACAGTACAACATAAGAACAAACTATAAAATCAGTTGAAAGAGGCTTAACTCATCAGATGAATAAAAATACAAATACTACAATTACAAGTGGACGTGGCCGGGTACTTGTACATCCAAACAACAAAAAGACACTAAGTACAGATCTGAGAGTACTCACAGTTACTGACAGCTAGTTCAAAGCCACTAACAACTAATAAAAAAAATCATGCATCTAAGACTAAATTATCAATCCGTACACATCCAACATCCAATGGATTTAGTGTAAAGACGTCATAAACAGTCAGAGAAAAACATGACCTTGTGCAATGCCAAGATACAGGTATCGACAGATTGTAGATCCATGAATGTGTATATGTATATAACAATAATATTTAGTTTGCTTTTAATTTACTGAAAACAAAATCAATATCAGTACCAATAAAAACAATATTTAATGATCTAATTACAGTGTTGAATTGGTAACCTTTTAGAATAAGTTTATTTAAAGGATCGATAAGTTTACCAGAATCGTTTCTAAATTTCCGGGTACGGTAAACAATATTGCCGTAAAAATGAGGATGTGCAAAAATCCCGTTTGAAATAAGTTTTCTACAGGTACAACCAAACTTCAAAACCAAATCTTTATATCTGTGGAAGAATTTAGTAAAGGTTTTAAGTCATTTTTGGTAACGAAATCCCTGGCTTAATAATTTACCAGTAATACATAGATTACGTTCGTTAAAATCAAAAACGCCACAACAGACACGGGCATAGCGGACGAGTTGTGAAATATAAACAACTTAAGATGGTGCCAAAGGAACATCACCATCCAAAAAGTGAAAATTAACAATAGGGAACGAAAAATCGTCCCTTTTGTTGTAAATTTTAGTGTGGAGTTTCCCGTGTAAAAACATAGTATAGCTTATTTCCAATGGGGTCCCTTGTTTGAAAATATATAAAAATAATATTTTAATTTGTTGTTAAAATTTGACTTTCACCAAAAAAAAAGAAAGAAAGATCAAATGTTTCTTAAACAACATATTAAAAGGTCTCCAGTTTCAATGTTTCTTGCTGTTATTTTTATACGACGGCAAAAAATTTTTGTGGTCGTATATTGGTATCACGTTGTCGTTGTCGTCGTCCGAAGACAGTAGGTTTCCGGACAATAACTTTAGTATAAGTAAATAGATATCTATGAGATTTAAACACAATGTTTATAACCACATAAGGAAGATCGGGATTGATTTTGGGGATTATGGTCCCAACAGTTTAGGAATTAGGGGCAAAAAAAGGGCCCAAATATGCATTTTTGTAGTTTCCAGACAATAACTTGTGTTTAAGTGTATGAATCTCTCTGAAATTATACCACAAGTTTCCATACCACAAAGGGATGGTGAGTATTGACTTAAGGGGGTTATGGCTCAAACCATTTAGGAATTAGGGGCAAAAAAGGGGAAAAACAAGGGTTTCCTGGTTAATGGACAATTTTAAAGCAGTTTAAGGGAGGTAATCCAATCACATTTAATATACAATGGTGTGTATGTTTTGGATTACCTCCCTTACACTGCTTGTAAATTATGTATAAGAAATGCTCTATTGTCTTGAGGTGATTAGCTGTCAATTTATTTTTAAATGTTACAGTAATTAATATTAATTTTAGCCTTGAATATGTATGTCATTTTCTATTTTAGGACTTTTATGATGTATTTTAATGGGTAATTATGGTTGCAAACTCCTTTAGAAATTTGAATTGAGATTATGACCTTATCTTGAGGGAAAGAATTTTTTTTAAAAAAAGGGAAAGGGGGGAATTGAAAAATAAAATTGGGAGAAGGGGGGGGGGGGGGGGAATATGAAATTGTGGGGGGGAACATTTTTTTCTCATTTCAGATTTCAGAAATTAAAAAGAAAATTTCTTCAAATATTATTTTTTTTTGCAAAAAAAAGATGGGAAGGGGGGTCAATACGCAACAGCATAGTGTATTGCACAAAAGCATAAATTGAATATAAATTCAAATCATATTACCAATACTAAGTTTTTTGACTACAGTTATTCTGTGTCGGAAACCTATTTTGTGTCAGATATTTAATTACAATCCAAGTTCAAACCTGTATCAAGCGCAAATATTGTGTCCATATTTGCCCCAACTGTTCAGGGTTGGACCTCTGCGGTCGTATCCAGCTGTGCTTGGCGACGCAATTTATGAGAATTTTTACTTGAATTATTATTTTTTGTTATAATCTCTTAACATTATTATTTTTTGTTTTCAATCATATACATATACAAAAGTTGAAATCTGCTATGCCTATATTCTGATAACTGTTCAGGGTTGGACCTTTGTGGTCGTATCCAGCTGCGCTCAGCGAAGCAATTTATTAATTGTTCTTTAACTACAGTCTTAAAAGCAGATCTATTTGTTATATTTTTTATGTTGGATGGTAGATCTAGATTGTTCCAGTCTTGTATAGAATTATAGACAAAGCTGTTTTTATTACAGTTTTTGTCTCGCCTTGACGGAGTCAAAAAGCGAGACATAAGTATGCTGTTTCCGGTGTCGGCATCAACAATGTATTAGTTTGTGATTAGGTCTAGTTCATGGTGAACCACTAGTGGTAGGTCAATGATATTTGGTATGCAGATGTATTAGCATTGGCACATCTCATTACCATGGAGATTATTTGGCCCTGCCCCCTCATTCATGGTCTATTGACTTTGAAACTTTGCTTAGTTTACATGTATTAGTTTTTGTCTCACCTTGACAGAGTCAAAAAGCGAGACATAGGTTTGCTGTTTCCGGCGGCGGCGTCAACAATGTATTAGTTTGTGATTAGGTCTAGTTCATGGTGAACCACTAGTGGTCGGTCAATGATACTTGGTATGCAGTTGTATAAGCATTGGCACATCTCATTACCATGGAGATTATTTGGCCCTACCCCCATATTCATGGTCTATTGACTTTGAAACTTTGCTTAGTTTACATGTATTAGTTTGTGATTAGGTCAGTTAATTGGGAACCACTAGTGGTAGGTCAATGATATTTAGTATGCAGTTGTATAAGCATTGGCATATCTCATTACCATGGAGATAATTTGGCCCTGCCCCCTCAGTCAAGGTGTATTGACTTTGAAACTTTGCTTAGTTTACATGTATTAGTTTGTGATTTGGTCAGTTTATTGGGAACCACTAGTGGTAGGTCAATGATATCTGGTATGCAGTTGTATAAGCATTGGCATATCTCATTTCCATGGAGATTATTTGGCCCCGCCCCCTCAGTCATGGTCTATTGACTTTGAAACTTTTGCTTAGTTTTCATGTAATAGTTTATGATTAGGTCAGTTTAAGGGGAACTGTTAGTGGTAGGTCAATGAGAATTGGTATGCAGTTGTATAAGCATTAGCACATCTCATTTCCATGGAGAATATTTGGTCCTTAGCCCTCAGTAATGGTCTATTGAATTTGAAACTTTTGCGTAGTTTACATGTATTAGTTTGTAATTAGGTCAGTTTAAAATGAACCACTAATGTTAAGTCTATGATATTCGGTATGCAAATGTATTGGCATTTGCAAGTTTCATTTCCATGGAAATTATATAACGCCCACCCCCTTATTATGGTTCATTGACTTTGAAACTTTTAAATAGTTTACAAGTTAATGTTTGTGTTAAGGTTTGTTTAAAAATTAAATGGAACAACTATGAAAAGTCAATGGTATTTGGTTTACATTTCAATGTAATTAATTGTAGCCAGCGCCTTTTTGATTTGACTGCTCAGAAAATAATTGTGTGGATAGCCAAATCAGAAAATATTTAGGGTTGGGTCAGTGTGCCACCAAATCCATGGTAGTAAAATCAGTTTGTTGATTGTCAGACAGGAGCAAAGGAAACCACTCTGGTCTATGAATCCCGAAGAGATTAGAACGAGACGTAGTTATTCCATAGATTTATAATAAGCATTAGATCAGCTGTATTCAGTGTAAGGAATGATTGTAAGGAGGCAGGATTCATCTGACCTTGACCTTTTTTCATGGTTCATTAGACAATGTAAAGTTTTCATGGTTTATCAGAAACTATTTGCAGTTGGTCAACTATATTTGGTGAATGGAATGATTGTAAGCAATACATGTGTGTCTGGCATGGTTAATCCGACCTTGACCTCATTTTGATGGTTCATTGGTCCATGTTTAGTTTTCATGGTTACATGCATGTCTGTTGCTCAGATACTACAAGCAATAGGTCAAATGTAGTGTATGGAATGATTTCATGGTGTACATGGTGTACATGTTGTCTTGTATGGTTCATCTGACCATGACATTATATTTATGGTTCATTGGTCAATGTTCAATTTTCTTAATTAGGTCTGTTTCTTAGATAGATAAGGAATTGACTAACAATATCTGGTGGATGATATGATTGTAAGGTCTGTCTGGCAGAGTTCATCTGACCTTGATTTCATTTACATGGATCATTGATATGTTAAGTTTATGTGGTACTTTTAGTAAAACCTTCTTATTGCAGACATTCAACACAAATTTAATCACAATAAGTAAAGCAGGTGATACATTTCAAGGTGTGCACTCTTGATTAGATTTAAGTATATTTTACATTTCTTTACACTGATCATGCGTGTAGAGTTGCCTGAAAGTTTTCTTAATTTTTAAATCCACAAATACGAATGTTTTCTAGTATGTCAACAAAAAAAATAATTGTATTGCTTGTCATTTATTAGATGTCTTTCGTTGTCAACTGATTGTTTAAATGAAAACCATATTCTGTAAATATAACAACAGGTTTAATTTAATGGTAAAATTAGTTAAAGCCAATTATTTGGTAGAGCGAGTATACAATTACATATATAAATAAGAACAAAAGAAATTTGGGGTACTGTTATGTCAATGACACATGACAAAAATGAATGAAAGAAAATTGATTACCTTAAATATGAATTTCAGTGATGCACAAGTGCCCTTGGTATAAGACTGGCTCTGATTTTAACGTAATCTTAACTGACAAAATTAAGTGATGAGACTGTGGTAACCACTGACAAGATTCTTAGCCTAGCGTAGGCATTTAGACATTTGGTAGTAAGATTTGTGAGTACATGTACATGTAGTAAGCTCTCCTTAACCCATACCCAAAAGTTATTTGGAACAAATGGGAAAAAAGTTACAGTTAAAGCACAAAATATAGGTCAAACCATTAGTATATATAGAATGCCAAAACAAAGAAAATAGATACAAAGCTTTTTAAAGCTTTAAAAATGAAATAATTTCTTTCGATTACAAAACAAGAATGAGTCAAAACTTTATTTTGCTGTAGACATTTTCACTCAGACATTCATTTTCAAGACAGATTAGAAATAAAGTTTCTTTGTTAATGTTGGCATTTTATATCTGCAGTCTGTTTAAGAAATTTTGTCTTCAAATTACCATAATGACTGGTTGGTTAGTATGAGTAAAAACTCATTGAATTATTTTTCAGTTATAATAATGGACATAAGTTGTGAAATGGAGCTTCCTTTCACTGAATCCAGTTCATTGACGGGGACTTCATTTGAACATTCAGCATCTGATCTACCAGTAAAACTCCTGGGAAGTTCAGAAGATGTTGACCATCTTCTTCATGGAAACACAGACAAGCATCTCAGTGCTGCAGATTTTAAGTTAGATCTTGGTGTGTCAAATGATTTAGTATCTGACTTCGGAATGTCAAACGAAAGTCTAATGATGCCTGAAGAACAAGCTGAAGAATATAGTATATCTGATGCAGCTTTAGAGGGTGGAGTCAGGCCAGCTGTCACATCAAGTAATATTGTTGCGATGGATAACATTAATTATGTTCACTCCATCCCTCTTATATCAACTTTATCAGGTATACAGACAGTTCAGGTTATTCCATTTGGATACCTGATTTCTGGTGCCAAACCAAATACTAATCAACAGACAGAATCAACACAGGTTAATATCAATAGTTTTAATCAGTCAACACCAACACAAATTCAGACTGTACATAATGCTGTTGTTATTGGCAACCTCATGATGTTGAAGAATTTGCCAGGGAAGGATGTCAATCAAATTCAGAATAGTAATCAAGCAAAACAAGTTGATACTGATGTCCGAGCAACAGCAGAAAAATGTGTATCAAAAGTAAAGTCGTCAAATAATAAAACTTCAAATGTTGAAATGTCAAGACGAGTAGCAAATAAAAAAAATATGGTTAACAACAGACTTCATATAAACCAAAGCACAAGTTTGCAGAATAGAGTTCAAAGTTCACAGAAAAATACAAAAATTAAAATCGATGGGAAAACAATTTCTTTGACTTTTGAAGTAAAAGATGTAAGGTCATGTGACCTGACTGAATGGCAAACTGTTTCCCAAGATATTTCAACTTCCAAAGAAACTAATGACAACTCAGTTTCTACAAGTACAGTTGATAAGGAAGAGAAGCTTATTCCTATAGTAACCAAATCTTCACCACAACTGCAAATTTTTACAAATGTGAAAGATGCTTCTGATAATACAAAATATGTTTCACTTTTAAATGGACAAAATAATTGTCTGACATTAAAGAAAAATGAAAATTCCATAGAAAATAAAATAAGAAGTACAGAAATGGACATTGATAAAGAATTTGTTGAAGAATCAGAAACAACTAAATGTACAGTAACAGCTGCTAATTCAGAAAATGTAGCCAATGAAAGTAAAGACTCAAGTGATACTACTAAAGATAAAACAGAGGAATTAGAGAATGAGGTTTTGACTTTACTGGCAAATGCAAGTAAGGAGAGAACAAGAGTTGAACAGGAACAATCCAAAGGAATTCCTGGGAGGAAGAAATCTGGAAAGCCTTGTGGTAATCTACCAACTAATGAAGAGTTATTTAAATGTGATATATGTGGTTTGGAATTTAACAGGCATGGTAATTTTACCAGACACAAACTTATACATGATGTTAGATTTAAGGTAAGATTATGGATTTGTTCTCATAACCTGAGATCTCTACTCTCCAGCTGCTATTTTACAATAATAAATTAACAAAAACTATGTAGAAGAACATATAGTAAAAAATAAGTTAAGGAAAGCATTTGACTTTATAAAATGGATGTAATGCATGGCAAAATCACAAGAAAACACAATATTTACTACAATGTTTCAAATGATATTCACAGTTACAAAGCTCTAAATAGTTAACCTGCAGAAATGAAATTATGTCCTCTTACACTGCAATATTAATTTTTGTACATGAACTTCAGAGTAGATTTTAGGCAGCAGCCGGATTACGGGTAACAGTGCAGGAATTAACAATATTGCACATTACACAGACAATGACAGAGCAAAGTATTGTGCAAAATATCAATGCATAAAAAAGAAATAGTTAGTCTTGTTTCAAACTATAAACTAAGACATGTTAGGAATTGATGTAAAATCCCCACCAAAAAAAATACTGTGGATTCACTATTATTCGTTGGATACCAATTTTCGTGGTTATCCGGGAACCACGAATTCCAATGTCCAACGAATAACAAATTTTCTATAGGAATTTATGCAGACTTTGGCAAAACCACGAAATCAAATATCCACGAAAATGCAAATTTTCCTCAATCCACGAAAATTGGTACCCACGAAAATAAATGAATCCACAGTATTACATTTCTAATACTCGTTGGTGATGAAATTATTATCATTTATTTTGACTTTTTTATCTCCCAAAACATTTTTATGCATACAGTTGAAGAAATAATTGAAGAAAATTTTCTAAAATCCTGTTAAAATTAACATTTAAACTATATCATATGCTGATAAAACATAATTGCCTTTTAAAATCACATTAGTACTGTATGTTAAATAAGTAAACAAAGTAATACCTCTCTATTTAAGGACCGTTACAAATGTCCTGTATGTGAAAGAAAGTTTCTACAACGATGTGACTTAAAGCGACATTTACTGATACACTCAAACCAGGAACCATATAGGTGTCAAGAATGTGGTAAAGGTAAGGAGTTATCTCCCATGTAGACATATACTCAATAATGTAGACCAATGAAACTGTTACAAAAAGCACACATAAGATATACCCAAGTTTCTTTCTGTCATATGTCCATTGTCCATGACCTCATTTTCATGGTTCAGCGACTGCTTGAAAAAAATTATAGTTTTTTTGTCATGTGAATTTCTCACTTATTATGCGTTCTCACGAAGGTTCTTTAATTGCACATGATTTTATCTATAATCACATCACGAACTTGTTTATGTTGGAATAAAGGTATATATGTATCATCTACCATGTTTTCAAAAATAATTTTTACTTACATCAACTTATCAACACATATATATATTAAATTACCCAGTAAATATTACCGGTAAGTTTTATTTATTGAATTAGATCACCACATTGATAACTTCATAAGTATTGCATATTACATGAAAACAAAATTTCATAAAAAAGCAAAAAAATCTTAACAGTGAAGTCAAGGTCACTGCTTCAACTGAGTGACTTGTTTACTTATTATAATTACTAAAAGTGAGTATAAAGCAAAGAACTACTCTGTTTACAGAAGTTTCTCAGTTCAAGAATGAACTACTTTAATTCTGTCTAATAACGCATCTGATTTTTCCAACACTTACTTCTTTTTAAAGGTTATATACGAAGGAGTGATTTAGTAGTTCACATGAGGTTTCACAAGAAAGAACGTGTATTTTCCTGTCCTTATTGTTCAGATAAAAAGTTTTGCCAGTCAGGTATGTATGTTACCATGGATAGATTTATCTCTAGTGCCAACATTCAAGTTCGAATTTGGGTGGCGTCACTTTTACGGTTCTCTAGTTACGTTCCTGTATAATGTTATATGCAAGCAGGAGCATCATCTGTGCCCCATTCTCCTTTTATTTTATATTTTTTTTTAAATAAAATGGAAATGATAAACTAGCAAGATTGAAAAATACCAAGGGACCCTACAGATACAAGATAAAAAATTCACTCGTCTGAAACTGGATGTGCATTTAAATGCTCTAGAAAAGTAAGCATATCCTGTCTGGCATGAATAACACGTTGTTTGATGTAAAAGGACACCAGCATCATATTTATGTGAACAAAATTTTTATTATGTGGACCACTTACTTTAGATTCTTGAAAGTAAGAAAGAAAAAGTCTGTGAAACTGAAAATTAAACTTCATATCACAGTACCTAAAGTGAAATATATAATACTGTTCCATTTGATTTGCAAAAATATTGTTGACAAGATTGAAATTAGAAAGATACTAACCAGTTATAATTAAATGAAAATTTAATTTAAATTTAAGGTTAGTTAATTAAAACAGCTAGAAAGTTGGGTAAAGCAATCTTAAGTAGAGAGTTTGGGTTACCAGTAATATATAGACAGTTGGGGTAATCAGTCATGAGTAGACAGTTGGTGTAATCAGTCATGAGTAGACAGTTTGGGTAATCGGTTCATGAGTAGACAGTTGGGGTAATCAGTCATGAGTAGACAGTTGGGGTAATCATTCATGAGTAGACAGTTGGGGTAATCAGTCATGAGTAGACAGTTTGGGTAACCAGTCATAAGTTAACTGTTTGGGTAGCCATTCTTCACAAGGTGTGGAGAAAGGAATGTGTTTAAATTGTTCACTGCTTAATGCTTTGACATAGACAAAATAACTTTTCTTATACATTTTTTATCAATATCAATATTTGTGGTAGGTGATTTGAACAGACATGTACGTAATGTTCATCTACACAGCAGTACCCACAAGTGTGGACATTGTGAGCGTCAGTTCAGTAGAGAACCAGCTTTGATACAACACGAGTACACATGTCATGGACTACCTCAGAACTCTAAGAAAAGATCTAAGTGAGTGCCATTTACATTAAAATTTAAATAATGGCTGTTACTTTTGAAATTCAGGATAAAAAATGTTGTAAAGGAGAAGAAATGTATTGACCAAAGTTGTCTTTCTTAAATCAAATTTAATTTTCTTTTCATTATTAAGACTTTTCCATAATTTTTAACCAGTATGGCATTAATTTTGAATTATCATAAATCTTTGCCTAACCTAAAAATTTGTAAGTTGGCTATTGCTAATATGTCATTTTACAAGTTCGATACCAAACCAGGGTTTCCCAGTTGGAGGCAAGGAATTCAGCCACATTTTTATACGCCCGTTTACGGGACGTATTATGGTATACTGTTGTCCGTCCGTCTGTCCGTCCGTCTGTCCGTCGTCAACATGTCAGACATTAACTCAAAAATGCTTTAACCAATTTGCATAAAACTTTGGTGAATTGTTTATATCTATTGACCTGAGCTCCCTTTCGTTTTTTATAAAATTTAGATTTTACGTTTCAGAGTTAAGGGGTTTTATTGATTAAAAAAAGGGGGATTTTCCAGTTTTCGGACAATAAGTCAAGAATGCTTTCACCAACTTGCAAGAAAGTGTGGTGAATTGTTTATATCTATTGACATGAGCTCCCTTTCGATTTTTATAAATTTTAGATTTTTGTTTCCGAGTTGCAGGGTTTTATTCATAAAAAAAGGGGGGATTTTCTAGTTTTCTGACAAAAACTCAAAAATGCTTTCAGCAATTCTTATGAAACTTTTGAGAATTGTTTGTATATATTGATGTAAGCTCCCTTTAGAATTTTATAAATTTTACATTTTACATTTCTGAGTTATGGGGTTTTATTCATTAAAAAAAGGGGTGATTTTCCAGTTTTCGGACAATAACTCAAAAATGCTGTCACCAATTCTCATGATGTAAGCTCCCTTTTTATATTCATAAATTTCTAATATGACATTGAGAATTTATTGAACTTTATTTGTTTATAGTCTGACAACAGATTTACTAAGTATTGCACAACAGTAAGAAATCTTTAATTGAATATAAATTCAATTCATATAACCAATTTCAAGTTCTTTGACTACATTTATTCAGAAACCTATAATATGTCAAATATTTAATTACAATTCAAATTCAGACCTGAATCAAGCTTGAATATTGTGTCCATTTTTGCCCCAACTGTTCAGGGTTGGACCTCTGCTGGCGTATCTAGCTGCGCTCAGCGAAGCAGTTTATTTATATTTGTTCTGTTAAGTGAGTGACTTGTACCTTGATTTGGTTTCCATTAACTGATATAGAATCCTTTAAAATGTGGATCATCAACAGCATTAACCAGTTTTACATACCAGAAAAAAACCATCAATATCTTGTACATGTTGTAGTTACCTATATATAAAATTAACAATTATTTTGATTTCAGGGTTGGAATATCCAATAGTGCTGGAACTAAAGGAAAATCAGCTAACAAGAAGAAAACAGATGTAGCTTGATAAATTGTGCTGCCTGTTGACTTATTGATGTTGTAAGATAAGTTTTGTAAGTCATCTTTCTTTAAGTAACATGGCCCAAATCTCTCATCAATCGGCTAATGTCTTGTTTTTTTTTTTTATCTCTCATTGCATAAACCATTCTAGTATTTCCTTTAATAAAATTGCCACCATAATAAAGGTCAGCGACAAAATCTTGTTGCCAATTCAATAATAATTGTACTAAAGCCACTTTTTTCAGACATGCATCATGTTTTGTGATAACTTTTTAGATCAATGACACATAAAACAGTTTGAATAAAGGTTTCCTAGCTCATCATGATCATTGAACATCATTAAAAGCCTTCCTAACTTCAATATCAAGCAATAGAAAATCTTTAATTTTTCAGTAACACCCAAGGTGAAACCTTTAAACCTGCAGACTTCTAAGTATATATTTCATTTAAAAAGTAAACATCATCAAGTTCTATACTAAATATTGGATTATTATTTTTGAAACATTTTGATATAAGAATATTATATTCAATTGTACATAGAGCGTCACGTATACGATTTAATTGATTTAATTTTTAGTCACACGACTGGTGATTTGTTTATTCAGCCGTTAGCATTCATCTGCAAAATATTTTGAGGGTAAAAATGTTTATAATAGACATTTCTTAATCCTGGTTCGTATTTTTAAAAAATTCTTTTTCATCAAACTGCACTGCAAAATATGAAGCTTCATTGAATGACAACAGAAGACCTCCTTTAAAGATTTGTCTTTTATTAATACCAAAGTTATGGAAAAGGATGATAGGCTTTCAGCTATTTTGGTTCTAAACTTCTGATATTATTGAAGCCTATGCTTACCAGTCTTACTTTGGAATAAGATATTTATGTTTTATTTTTCTAAAACCAATGGGGCTATTGATCATAGTTTTTTCTTTTCACTTAAGTTTCTCCTTAACTTTGATATACAAAAAATGGTCATCTTCACAGTAAACATGTCTTATTTGATTAGCAGTTATTGTATGGTTGCATTGATATTTACTCCTCATCTTCTTTCATTTTAGTTAAATCTACATCCTTCACCCATTATCCTTGGTCAATGGTAATCCAAAGATTATAATCCTGGAAGGCTTTTTGTCCACTCATTCAACCAAGCATTGACAATCTAGTAAATACTGCTTGTAAGACTTTTGTGACTGATAGGCTGGATGATTTGAATAAAATATTTTAATACTTAAAATGTTTTTTAACGTTTTAACCTTGACCTATTTAAACCGCTTGTAAACATGAAGTTTTCAAAGGTTTCTTCTAATCTAGTAGCCACTGTATGTTAAGCAAGCAATAATTTAATCTAGTCATATACATGGTCACTATAAGAAATCTTTCTTCTTCAAATGATCGATATTGTCTGAAGCTCTAGTTATGGTTTATCTTACTACAAGTTGTGTTATATTGCGATGGTTTATGTAGGTCATACTCACAGCTATGTTACTTCAAAAATATGTCTGTTCCCAGTAACCATAATAACACCACATTTGTTCGGTTATATTTATGAAGAATCTTCCGTCTGAAGTGAAAATAAACTCACCTGTGATCTCTGTTTTCTTTCTCTAATATTATCATTGTCCATAACATTTTCTTTTTTTTTTTGTAATTTTGTAAGAAAGAGGCATATTTTTGTTGTTGTTTTGAAGTAGAACATTGAAATATGGGATTAACTTCAAAAACATTATTAATTTTCTTACGCTAAATCTGGGATCAGGACAAAATCCACCAAGACAAAAATATTGAGATAGATTTTTAAGGTTAAAAAAAGATTTTTCTTCTGTTTTAACAAGCATTGTTGGTGCAAGATTTATCACTTTATATAATTCAAATCAAAATGTAAGGAATAAATAATAATATTTTAAGAGATGAACTGTAAACAGAAACAGATACTGTAGATTCATTTATTTTCTTTGGTACTAATTTTCGTGGATTGAGGAAAAATTGTATCATGGGTTTGCCAAAGTCTGTATACAAGCCAATAGATAATTTGCACTTAATTGAACATATAAATTTGTGATAAACATATACCCATGAAATCCACAATTGGTATCCCATATATATATTAATGAATTCTCAGTAACAGTATGTGTTTTTAATCTGGTTATTGTCTGCTGTCAATGGACCAAAAATCAATTGAAAATTTGATATTTAAAAATGTTTCTTTTTATATCAGATGTTTGGGGTGGAAATATAGGCTAATCATAATGATTTTACATGGAAATTAGTGCTTTTTTCATATATCTTGATAGGGCATGTGGCAAACATGATCTCAGATTTTTTTTTACATGTTTATTGTTTTCTACATATTCTTTTTTTTTTAAGTTCTCTTTGTTGAGTAAAGTGTAGTGATTTTTTTATCATTAAATTTATGATATTTTTTGTTCATTTTTTGAATAATTGCCTTCATTGTTAAACAAAGTGCTGGTCATGCAGAAATTCCTGTTTTATTTCTGACATAAATAATTATTGTTGATAGCTAGATATAATGATGTTGTTAAAGTTTCTAATGTACATTGGACTTGAGATATACGTTTTATTATTTCTCTTAATAAGTATAATGAATTGTGTTTACAGAAACAGATAAAATCTAAAAATGGTAACTAAAAGCTGCCCATGAAACAAATTTATCTTTTCAGTATATCCATTATTTTGTGCTGATTATCTTATTTTAGGTATAGGAATCTTTAGTATTTCTTTTTATATATATTTGAAAAGAGATCAAGTTTTAAATTTTTGTTGCTTGTACACTTTATGTGTTTTAAAACCAGCTGTTTTCATTGAGAAATAACATAATGTTTTTGTCTACTTTTCTTGTTGGTAGTGATTGTTGATGTTTTACCTGTTATATGACCAATTTGTATTTTGTTCTGGTTACACGAGTGACGAACATTGATTTTTATAACAAAAGGTATACAAATAAGTTCTGTTATTAATATTGTTGATACTCTTGTGTATGACAGACATTTTGGAAAATAATTGATTCTTAAAGATGTATTACTCTATTTTGTAACTTTCCTGGATAAACTCTGCCTTCACTAACAAACTTAGAATAAAGTCCATCAAACTATTATTAAATTATTCAATCTACAAAAAAGTGCCTGAAAAGGTTGTTAATTACACACTAAAGGAGTTTGCAACATTGTTCTTGTCTTGAATTATTATTTGTGCAACTTTTTGTCCATTCATCATTTATTTGGACTTTTATATTGATCACTGTAGTTCAATGAAATTAACAAAGGTAAACATACATAAATCTGGTTGATGTTAATTCAAGGGTTTTTACATGTACGTTAACTGCATTTGTATTTGCATGTATTGTTTTTATGGAAATATGCATATTGCGAAATACCTGATATTAAATACACCATGAAAAAAGGACTATATATAGTAATCAAAACCACATTGTTTTATTTGTAAAAGATGTTATTAAGTCTCCCAAACAAAGTTTGGGAAGACTTATTGGTTTTGCTCAGTTCTTATTATTATTATTATTATTATTATTATTCTTCTTCTTCTTCTTCTTCTTCTTCTTCTTCTTCTTCTTCTTCTTCCTCTTCCGCCACTTTTAAATTTGAACTTGTCCGCACCTGTTCTCCAAAACCGCTTATTGGTTTTGCTCAGTTCTTCTTCTTCTTCTTCTTCTTCTTCTTCTTCTTCCGCCACTTTTAAATTTGAACTTGTCCGCACCTGTTCTCCAAAACCGCTTGTCAGATTAACTTAGGGTTTCACAATATGTTAGACTAACATGTCTAGTGGTGCAATCAGGGTTTTGTTTGTGCAATGGGGTTTATAAAGGGGTACTTTGAGGGGCAAAAAGAAAGGAGGGTTTTACTATAGAACCCTATGGGATTTTATTTTTAAAAATTTTCAAATGATTATAAATTGAAAACCGTTTGTGATAGACATGATTATAAATTGAAAACCGTTTGTGATAGACACAATCTTTTTAATTAAGTCTCCCAAACGAAGTTTGGGAAGACTTATTGGTTTTGCTCAGTTCTTATTATTATTATTATTCTTCTTCCGCCGCTTTTAAATTTGAACTTGTCTGCACCCGTTCTCCAAAACCGCTTGTCAGATTAACTTAGGGTTTCACAATATGCTAGACTAACATGTCTAGTGGTGCAATCAGGGTTTTGTTTGTGCATTGGGGTTTATAAAGGGGTACTTTGAGGGGCAAAAAGAAAGGAGGGTTTTACTATAGAACCCTATGGAATTTTATTTTTTTTAAATTTTCAAATGATTATAAATTGAAAACCGTTTGTGATAGACACAATCTTTTTAATTGAAAATGTTCTAAATGATAAAGCACATTAAATAAAATACAGGTTTAGTCCCTAGGGGTCACCCCCACCCCCTGCCATTTAAGAAAGTTCTAATATATTGTAAATGGTCGAGATCCCCACCCCTAAACCATATATATTCTGGTTTGTCATGCTAAGATGGTTTGAATGATATACAGGGTTAGTCCCCAGGGGTCATCCCGACCCCCTACCATTTGAGAAAATTCTAATATCTTGTAAATGGTCGAGATCCCCACCCCTAAACCATATCTATTCTGGTTTGTCATGATAAAGCACATCAAATGAAATACAGGGTTAGTCCCCAGGGGTCATCCCGACCCCCTGCCATTTGAGAAAGTTCTAATATCTTGTAAATGGTCGAGATCCCCACCCCTAAACCATATATATTCTGGTTTGTCATGATAAAGCACATCAAATGAAATACAGGGTTAGTCCCCAGGGGTCACCCCCACCCACTGCCATTTAAGAAAGTTCTAATATTTTGTAAGTGGTCAAGATCCCCACCCCTAAACCATATATATTCTGGTTTGTCATGTGAAGATGGTTTGAATGATATACAGGGTTAGTCCCCAGGGGTCATCCCAACCCCCTGCCTTTTGAGAAAGTTCTAATATTTTGTAAGTGGTCAAGATCCCCACCCCTAAACCATATATATTCTGGTTTGTCATGTGAAGATGGTTTGAATGATATACAGGGTTAGTCCCCAGGGGT